GAAATTAATTGTTTGCTCTGCATCATCAATTTTATCCCCTAGAAGTAAGACCCACAGTTGCCTTGGAACAGCTGTGTGCATGGAGGAGCTTCCTGGGGAGTTCTCTTTCTTCCCTTACTCCCCGATTCTCAACTTACTTCTACATCTTCCTACCCAGCATTTTAATGAGGCTTCTTCTAATAGAGATGTATTTTTGCAAGCTGTTGCTTAATACCTGTCTTTGGAGTTGGCTCGTATTCCAAAATACCTTATTATTTGCTAATGTCCAGCTGGACATGGGTACTAGCAAGGTGAGAGAATTGGAATCGTGAGAAAAGTCGGGGAGTAAAGGGCTGGCATAACTCTGGACAAGGCAGTTTATCTTGCAGTGTCAGGGCCTGCATTTATGGAAAGATAAAAACATTTGCCACCAACCTGCCACATCTGTATTAGTCGGAAGTCCTTTAACTGAACTGACAGAAACCCACTCAAAAAATAATTGAAGCAGATAAATGACATTTATTGCCTCATTTCAGTAAGTCTAAGGGAATTTGGGCGGGGCTGGATGTAGGGATTCCAACAGCATCACCAGGCCTCTCTCTCTATCTCTGTATTAGTTTCCTAGGGCTGTTCTAATAAAGCACCACAAACTAGGGGACACGAAACCACAGAAATTTTTTGAACAACAATGTGAATATACTTATGGTTAGAATGATAACTTTTATGTATGTTTTACCACGATTAAAAACAAACAAACGTCCTGGAAATTTATTCTCTCACAGTTCTAGAGGCGAGCACTCCACACGAGGTCCTGCTCTCTCTGGAGGCTCTAGGGGAGCCTCTCTTGCTTCTCCCAGCTTCTGGTGTTGCCAGCGGTCCTTGGCCTCCCCTGGCCTCTAGACACATCACTTCAGTCTCTGCGTCCATTGTCACGTGGTATACTCCTTCTGTGTGTGTGTTTATGTAAGGACACCAGTCACCAGGGCCACTTGAATCCAGTGTGACCTCATCTTAACTATTTACATAAGCAGCGACTCTGTTTCCAAATAAGGTTATTCCAGGTAGACATGCATTGTGGGATGTCACTAGTCATTGGGAACAATCTCTTAGCTTGTTTTCTTCATTTTCACTGAAGCTCCCAAGTGGCTGCAATATAACTGAAGGAACCTCCAGTAATTCCAGAAAAAAAGGGGAAAATCTCCATCTGCCCCCAGAACCATAACTGGACTCTGATTGGCTCTGCTTGGATCAGGTGCTCAGCCCTGGACCAATCACTGTCCAAGGTGATGGGCAATTCAGACCCTCCCTAAGGCAGGGCAGGCAGGACCATGGGACTGACACTCAGCCCTCCCAGAGTCGTAGGCAAATATAGGACAGGCACAAAGAGCAGATGTCTCCTAAATTATTCCTATTTTTATGTCACTCTTCATAAACATAGCTATGTTTTTATTATTAGAGAAAAGGACCTATATCATATAAAGCACTATTTCCACCTACAGAAATTGATGAATTGAACACAATTGCTTCAATTTAGAAGGCATTAAATTAGGAGTTTCTTGAGGACTAGGAATACATACATATATATCTTTGGAAGAGTATTGGGTTAAACCAGGATTTATAGCAAGATTATAATGTATGATAATTCCTAATTTATTCTCATCCACATAATTAAGCCAGAAATTTAAGGGGAGCAGGGCCGATCAGAGCCTTCATGCTGCCGGCTGGGGTCTTCCTTCGTTCCGTGCCACCCCCTGGTGGTCAGCATACATCATAGCGAGTGGTTGAACTCCCGGTCAAACTCCTGAGGAGACAATTTGCATATTAGCCTTTTATTATATAGGATAATTCCTAATTTATTCTCATTCACATAATTAAGCCAGAAATTTAAGGGGAAGAACCCTTAGATGACACAAAGAGGTGACTTGTGGTATTCAGGTGCAATTAGAACTGTGGAGAATTCTGAGCATGAATAATTTTTTAAACAAAGACCAAAGTGGATTTCTACATGCCCCTCCCCCATGTCCACCAGGCAGAATCTCATTTTGCAGCTTCTCAGTTCACTAAGGTGTCATAGCAGATTCACCCTCGGAAGTGCCACCTTCAACCCAGACTTGCCAGAAAAAATCAGTCACAATTGGATCTGCCTAACGCCTGCTCAGTACGCCTCCTTCCTCCTATTTCTGAAATGTAAGTGGAGAACGGGCCATCATTCCCCTCTCCTGAAGGGCAAGGTCAAAGGCTTTTCCGGAAGAGATGCTGCCATCCAGAGTGGGGAACGTAAATAGATTTCTTCCCCTCCAGGGTAACATTTGGGGCACAGGCTAGCAATGTTCTCTGGCAACTTGCACCTTGAATGACTTTTCTAAACGCTTGCTTATCTCAATGAGAAGATTTATCTAGACAGGCGGGCCTGCTGTCATTTCACTAATTTCCTTAGTCAGCAAATGGACAGCACGGGCCCATCGGTTACACCTGGCAGAATGCGAGCATCCTCGGTGGGGCTTCCATTTGCCTGGCCCGCTTATGCTTCAGTTAGCAGCCTGCCTTTCCAGAACCCTGACGGGTGAATAATGGTTTGGACTTAAGCACCGCACAAATACTTAGAGACTCCACTCCCTGCCCCTGCCTCACCTCACATAATAGCAAGAGGGTTATGAAACGGCCTCTTCTTGCCTCATCTCAGTGGGCAGTGGTTTCAACGGTTCCCAGACTAATTCAGGAGCAAGCTCCTCAGCACTAACCAGGCACCCAGCAGGCACTTCCTTCACCGGCCCCTGGTCCAGATGGTCTCACACTGTGGGGCTGAGACACCTGGAGAGACCTGGAAGAAGGTCTGAAAGCAACGGGAACGGAGATGGCAAGGTCAGGGAGGAAATAAAGATCATTAATACGGACAAGGGAATGAAGGAAAGATAAACCGCTACTGTCAGTTCAGGTAAAGGGAGACAGACTTGTCTCAGACTAACCAGGACAGTTGCTCACCCTCAGCAGACATAACATGGGCTTTAGTTACTTAGAGCAGGTGGGGAACAACCTGAAATGCACTCTGGCGTCACTTTGTGGCCCGGGGTCCATTTAAAATGTGAAAGTTGCCACTCTGGACTCTACGGCCCTGGTTGCAGGAAGCAGACCCAAGCATATCTGCAAGGGAGGGCTTAACCTTCAGAGGTTTCTCAGGCACAGACACCGATACCCCCTGTACTGCCCACAGCCTAGGCCTGGCTTCCATACCTTCTGGTTCATCTCTCTACTCTGTTGTGCCTCAAACTTCCCCGCTGCTGGTCTTGGCATGGCCTCCATGGGCGAGGTATCTCATGTTACCACTCTGCCTTCCAGCCCCTCGTGTCACAGGACGAGGCTCAGGTCCTTGACCTTGGCCTCCTGGCCAGGCATTGACAGCTGTGCTCAGCCCACAGTACAAAAGGGCGTCTATTTTGCCAACAAGGAAGCTCTCCTGTGGTTTCCCATGCTCCTCGCTGTCAATCTTGCAAACATGGACTAAGCCATATGTCAAGATAATTTTTCAGGGGCAAAAAGCAACACATAGGTCTTAGTTTTCCTGCAATGCCCATTTCTTAGTGCCACACAAATTCACACAATCTTAACTTCTTTTTTTAATATTTATTGCTACATTTAAAATATTACATGCTGGCTGCTAATGGAGGCACCTGGGATATAGCAGAGGACAGGACAGACAAGGAAGGCCTTTGCTCATGGAGTTTCCTAGAGATAATAAATGAGAACATAAAACAAATGAACAATAACATTTCAGAAAGCAATAAGTACTGTGAAGATATAACCAGGAGGTGTAACCTTCTGGGGAGGGGACTTGGCTCACTTTACCATTAGGGACCTTCCTACCCCAAGGATGTAATCTAAGGGTTCCTCAAAGAGCCATGCACTGCCCTCTGCTGGCCAGGATCAGTGGGACATGCAGACTCAGGGTTGCTTCTGTTTGCCGACAAGCCTCAGTTTCTGTTTTGCCTCCCTGCCCTCTCCTTTGCCATCTGTGTAAACCACAGTCTTGGTATTATTCGAGGAGCCTGGGGCTTTAGGAATGGAGCAGCTCTTGGTGAGCATCCTTGTTGAGATGCTCTTTGTCCAAACAGGTCTCTGGAGGCCATGAAGCCTGCAGTTTAGCATGTGGGCCTTGGTGTCAGCCAGCCTGAGCTCCCTTCCTTCGCCCTCATCTGTCTTGCTAACTGGCACTGGTCCTTCAAAATCTAACTCAAGTGTCTCCCCTGGAAAGCCTTCCCTGCCCGCCCCTCCCACCCCCTGCAACTTGAGTCTCCAACAGCAAGAGCCTATGCCTGCCACGTGGGCATGGTCAGGTCTTATTAATTGGTTACCGAGCAGTGTCTAAGGCATAGATGGGACTCAAAAAACATATATTGAATGCATGAATAAATGCATGAATCCGGAACTTGGCAGGCAAGCCTGGATCTGATAAACCTGGTCCCCCAGCTCCCTGCATAACCCAGAAGCCCACAATGAAAGGCAAAGTAAACTTACTTTTCCACCAATCGCATTATGCGCCATCAAAAAGTCGGAAAAGCACCTCTTGGGAAGTCCACATTGGCTCTCCCAGAGGCGAGAAGCAAAACTGTTTTCATCAAACCACACAAAACCCCCCTCGGTGGACTGCTTTGGAGCATCTATTGATCTTTTTTAAAAGTATGATTTAACAAAAGTGCTGCTTCCAGCTCCTTGTCTCGTTCCCTGAGTTCCCTCCATGTATTTCCAGCTGTGATGTGAAATTCGGCTGTGTGTGTCAGCCCCACGGATGGCGAAACCCCTGGCTCACCGCTGCCGATGAGACTCCGATTTCCCACAGGCAGGAATGAAAAGTCTTCTGGGCACCTGGGATCTCCCTGGCTCTGCTGGGTGGAGGCAGCATGAGGGTTAACCCCGATGAGCCCTGCCTCAAGGTCAAAGTCCTGTGGCAACTCCTGTGGGCTGCTGCCTGCAGAGCAGAGAATGGGGCTTTTCAACGCTGTTTGCGAACAATGACATGTCAGAGAGCCAACTCCTGCTAACTGCCCTTTGTTGTGGAAAATAAGAAATCATCACAAATCTCTGGGACTGAAGGATGACCATGCCCTTTCAGAAACCCTCTCTCACTGCCCTCGGCCTGGAAACACTACGAGGAGGTGGGCATCAAGGATCCAGTTTGCTGAAAGGTAACCCCTCTGTCCTCTTCATGGTTAGAAAAATGGAAATTCTGCCTCGCCCCCATTCTGGGTAATGGCACGGTGGCTCCAGCAGGATGCTAAGAGCATTGGACTTGCTGGACAGGCTGGGGCAAGTCGTGGACATTAAGAATCTCCATTTTCAGTGGAGCCCACAGTGTGGTTGTGAGGTTCAGCTATGAAAACGTGCGTCAACAGGCTTTGTAAACGGTAAAGCACTCTACAAATATGAGAAGTTATTATGGGCCACCATAAATTGCTAATTTTGAAGAAAATTATGCTGAATATCATTAATATCTCCCAAGTGTCTCGTAAAGCATTTGGGAACATGTCAATGGTTCAGTGGTATAAGTTTGAACTTTGCTTGTTATAGGTATAGCAGACTTCCTAAGCTCCTGAACCCAGTCCGATTGCTTGGATGTGGTAATAGTAGATCTCACCACAAGATGGCACTAGGGGTGACATTTCTTTGCCTTGATTGTTTTAAACAGAAGTGACATTTGAGTGGTCCAGGTAAGAGTGCCAAGGGAGGTCCCCTGCTCCCGGTTTAGTGATTTATCAGTGAAGTCAATCTAATACACATAGTAAATGAAATGTTTTCTCTCTTCCTAGTGAGCAGATTTAGAACTCTGAGGTCCTCACAGTTCTGGGCAGAAAGAGGGTGGTTTATGGAAGGCCGGTGTCCAGCCTCCCTCCTTCAGCTTCACCCTTCACTGTGACGGCCTTCCCCATGAGCTCCCAAACTCCGCTCACACTCCTGTACTCCACAGCCTCGGGACACCCTCAGGCCAGGCCAGAGGAGAGGCACCTGCGTGCTCTGGAGGGCTCTCAGGATCGCTGAGCAGGCACTAGTGAGGCCCAGGGCAGGCACAGAACGGTCTGGAACAGAGCTCAGCAGACTTTCCTGTCAAAGGTCAGACAATAAATATTTCAGGTTTTGTGGGCAATGTGGTCTCCGTCACAACTGTTCACCTTTGCCGTTGCATCTCATGAGCAGCCGTAGAGAGTACGTAACTGAATGGGTGTGGCTCTGTTCCAATAGAGTTTTATTTAAGAAAATAGACAACAAGTCAGACTTGGTCCACAGGCCACGGTTTGCCTACATCTGGTCTAGAAGCTGGCGCTAGAGTTGCCAAATAAAATACAAAACATCCTGTCAAATTTCAGTTCCAGAGAAGCAGTGAATAATGTTTTAGTTTAAGCATGTCCCAAACATTTCATAGGATATACTGAAAATACGAGTGGTTGTTTCTCTGAAATTCAAATTTAACTGTGTGTCATGTATATTTATCGGCTACATCCGGCCTCTCTGGTGGTGGTGGGAGCTCTGGCCAGGCCTGTCCCCTTGGTCCTGTGGACTCCCTGCCCCAAGGGCCTCTGAAGCTCGGGCCCTTCGTCACTCTTTGCTGGGTCAGTTTTTTAAATGACAATGTTTATGCTCTCAAAGAATAGATAGAATTTCTGTTTTGCAATTTAAATATCTGACCTTGTATAGTTTGAACATTTATTTATTAAACAAATATTTATTGATCAAGTTCCTGGTATGTGCTAGGTACTGAGAAATACATATGTTACAAAAAAGAAGGCTAATTAATCCCTGTCTTCATGGGGCTTATACAGGAGACAGTACACTGACTCACATACACATAAATGGCTCTATGAGATAAGAATAAGATGGAGATAAATTGGGAGGCAAGGCACATCTGAGTAGTGATGTTTGGTCTGAGATGTAAAGGGAAGAAGATTCAGGCAGAGTCCACACCTGAGAAAGGTGCAGTGAGTGAGGGGTGAAGGGGTGGGGGGAATGCGGGGGAGGGAGGGGGTAGGCAGACCCTCCCATTTAGAAGAAGAGAGCCATGGAGGAGAACACGGGGAGGGGAGTGTCACAGAAGCCCAATGAAGGGGCTGGGCCGTTTCCTAAATCTCTATTTCCGACAGTTGCCGAAAGCTTCCTTTTCCCTTTAGCACTGTGGGCCCCTCCTTATCAGGGCCTCCCTTACCCTTGCCTGCTACCTGTGCGACAAAAAGACGAAGCAGCAGGGGAAAAGCCGAAACACATGCACAACTATGTACCTCACTCCCACTAGTATCTGCAGGGTAGGCCTCACCATTGCAGGAGTGAGTAACAAGACGAATGAGTGACACCTGAGTGAGTGAACAAGTGTCTTCATTCACCTCCCTTCTTGGTTAGGAAACAGATTCTGAACCTTCCAGAATTTTCTTTAACAAGATGGCAGCCAGTGAAGGGAGAGCTCCTGAAACAAATCTCACACGCAGTGACTCTTCCCAGCCTGGTGGTGGCCTCCCTTGGGCCTTTGTTAGGCACGTGGGGCTCGGGAGCCGGGAAGTCGGTGCCTGTGCTCAGCTCTCCAGGATGTGGGTGCCCTGTGCTGTTCCAAATACCTACCTGCAGGGAAATTGTGCGGCTCCCATAATTCATATTCGTGACATTTCTCACTCCCAGTAAATAACCTTGTGTTTTGACCTGTAACTGTGTGAAATGCTAACAAAGCTGTGAGGAAATTAGAATCCCTGGTGTGGCCCAGAGGCTGCCCATGCAGATCCTGCCCAGGTGACAAAAGGTCTGCTGGATCCTGGGGAAAAACAAAGGAAGAAAAAGGTCACAGAGGAAGTAGCCGTGCAGTGAAATGCCAAAGTACAAGAGTTTATCTAGACCAAAGAGCTACCCTTTACATGAAAGAGTTCCCAGCCAAGGGTCACCGGCCGGTCTGAGAACCAACTACACAAGCAAAATGGAAAGTGGTGGTTGAAAGAAGTCCTGGAACAGAATCAGGTGTGTGGCATACTTTCCTTTATGGAGCATTTAAAATTTTTCAAAATCCTTTTTCATATATATCACCTGATTTTTATTTTCCAGGAACCTGACAAAGAAGGTATGGCAGGGATTAGGGTTTCCATTCGACAGATGAACAGAGTGAGAAGTGATCAGAGAAAGTAAGCAACTTGCCTGAAGTCACACAGCGACCTGATCGGGTGGTTGGTCAGGACCCAGGTCTCTTGAGCATAGTTTGTGGATCATTGTAGCACAATATCTTTCAGAAGAATATCAGGATGAGATCCATACAAGCTCTCCCTGTTTCCATAAAGAATTTTCTTCCCAGTGGTCAGCATGTCTGTGTCCAGAAACATTAGGAGTCTATAGAGATAGAAGCCTTCAGTTCAGACGTATCGATAGGATTCCGAAACAGGTGTCCTATGGGAAGCTCATGTTTTCCGAAGGAAAGTGATAGCTATCGCTGGCAGGCATGAAGCAAGGCAGCATCAATATCAATTTGTTGCTACTTAGTGTGTTGCTGTCCATTCCTGGGGAAGGAGAGCCGTAGCCAGACTGCTCAGCAGTGCAGCTGCCGAGGACCCATGAGACTGGGCAGAGTCAGTAATGCCTCATCTGCCTCAAACTGCAGCATCCTCTTTCCTGTTCCTTTTCCAGAAACCTGAAGATGAGCTAACCACTGAACTTCCCGAAATTCAACCTAACTCCTGGCCCACCAGGCCACGCCTTGATGTGGGTAGGATGGGAGCGTGAGGAGGAGGCCAAGGCCCTGCTAAGAATTCCTGCCAGCACAGGAGCCTAAGGACTAGATTCCAAAATCCGAGGATACAAGCTTGAGGGCAAAGAGTGAGTTTGGGGGCCACAGCTCTTGGCATCCCAATGCACTTAACATAGTCATGCCAATAACACTCCCTTAAGATTTGCTAAATCGAATTACCCTCAATGGATAGAAGAGGGACAAAGTGGAGACTGAGTAACTAAAAGAGACACAGCTTCTCCTATAAATCCGTAAGAAAAAGACAGACAACTCACAGACAAACAGGAACTATACTGAATAGGCACTTCACAAAAGAGAATATCTAAATGACCCATAAGCAAATGAAGAGGTACTCAACCTGGGTAGTATCAGGGGAAAGGCTAATGAAAACCACCTGAGATGCCAGCACGCACCCATGAGAAGGGCTGAAAGGAAGGAGACTGACCACACCAGAGGATGTGGAGCCCCTAGACGTCTCACACTCGATTAACTAGTTCAATTCATTCATGTGGGAAAACCATTGGACAGTACCTACGAAAGCTGAATGTAGCCCTATGGGAAGCTCATGTTTTCCGAAGGAAAGTGATAGCTATCGCTGGCAGGCATGAAGCAAGGCAGCATCAATATCAATTTGTTGCTACTTAGTGTGTTGCTGTCCATTCCTGGGGAAGGAGAGCCGTAGCCAGACTGCTCAGCAGTGCAGCTGCCGAGGACCCATGAGGCTGGGCAGAGTCAGTAATGCCTCATCCGCCTCAAACTGCAGCATCTTCTCGCCCTCTTCCTTTTCCAGAAACCTGCAGAAGAGCTAACCACTGAACTTCTTGAAATTCAACCTAACTCCTGGCCCACCAGGCCACGCCTTGATGTGGGTAGGATGGGAGCGTGAGGAGGAGGCCAAGGCCCTGCTAAGAATTCCTGCCAGCACAGGAGCCTAAGGACTAGATTCCAAAATCCGAGGATACAAGCTTGAGGGCAAAGAGTGAGTTTGGGGGCCACAGCTCTTGGCATCCCAATGCACTTAACATAGTCATGCCAATAACACTCCCTTAAGATTTGCTAAATCGAATTACCCTCAATGGATAGAAGAGGGACAAAGTGGAGACTGAGTAACTAAAAGAGACACAGCTTCTCCTATAAATCCGTAAGAAAAAGACAGACAACTCACAGACAAACAGGAACTATACTGAATAGGCACTTCACAAAAGAGAATATCTAAATGACCCATAAGCAAATGAAGAGGTACTCAACCTGGGTAGTATCAGGGGAAAAGCTAATGAAAACCACCTGAGATGCCAGCACACACCTATGAGAAGGGCTGAAAGGAAGGAGACTGGCCACACCAGAGGATGTGGAGCCCCTAGACGTCTCACACTCGATTAACTAGTTCAATTCATTCATGTGGGAAAACCATTGGACAGTACCTACGAAAGCTGAATGTAG